AACGCCAAAATCCACTACAACCTGCCAATTCCTATTCTTTGGTTCCTTCTTTATCGAACCTTGTTGCATCTTCAAGTTCATGCTTCAAATCAGCCAACCCATCACTAGTGAATTGCATCACTGCTGTTGGATCCACACTGCGTGCCTGTATCAACCGGCGTCGCTTCGCTGCCTAGGGAATTGCATCACCATTTGCTTCGCTTCGCTTTGTCGAGCTCAAAATCATCGCAGCGCCCTTCATTGGCCTTTCTGTCCACGGACGCCTGTGGCGCAGCTCTTGCTGCATGCAGCACCTCTGTGATTGCCTATGTAGCCTCCGTGGCCACCTAAGCAGCCTCCACGCCTGCCTGCAACTCCTCCATGCCCGCCTGCACAGCCTTCGCCGCCGGCTCACCTACACTGCCACCGTGCCGCTGACTCCGCCGCTGGCTCGCCTACACCGCTGCTGAGTCACCTCGCCTCCACGCTCGCCTAAGCTGCCTCCACGCCCGCCTGCGCAGCCTCCGCCGCCGGCTCGCCTGCACCACCGTGAAAGTGCATCTATCCCTTTAGTGGGTTTTGGATGATGGAATGACAACGTGATTAAAGGTCTAACCCGTTTGCTAAGTGTGGACAGGTAATAGGTTATCTCACAGGTACTTAATAAAAGCCAAAATGATGTGTTGTTGTATAAATAATCTAATTCAAGCAGAAGACAATAATGCAAATGGAATTCATGCAAAGGCTTATTTATTGTGGGATTTCCATGTACTATGTGAAAGCAAGCTCGGTAAAAATTAGTTGATGAGACATGAGGGGTTGCATATGGAATGGTCTCATATTTGAAGCTTGCTAGATTGAAATGAAAAAGATGACAATACAAATGAATGGATGACTCAACACAAGATATGACTTGATGGCTTGAGATGGTGAAGATAGCAAGGAAAGGCTTCGAGATACTAAGCAAGGGTGAAGGGCAAGCGACGGCTTGGCTGCCGAAGAACCTAGCTAGGGTGAAGAAGAAAATACTTGCATTTAGTTGATGTACTAATCAAGCTATGATGGTCATATTGATGTGGAGGATCAAATCTATAGTGGACAAAGTGTTGGAAGTGACTTGATGTATTTGGAGTTATTTGTATTTAATGAATGGAATCAAGTCACGTGTTCAAGATGGCTATGCTCAAGTGATAAAGATCAAAGTTGACATGTTGGCACCCTCACTTGATGAAGATTGGAATACACGGCTTCGGTTGAAAGAGATCAACTCAAAAGATTTAAATTCGTTATACTCTTTAAATTTGAGTTAATAGGAATGCCGTACTATTAAGAGGGGTGCATCATGTTGATAGATAATGTTTCATAAGTGCTCAAGCCAACCCATGTGAGTTTTGAGTGTTTGAAAGACAAAATAGCTAACCTATTTTTTTGTTGGTCTAGATACCGGACGTGTCCGGTATTTGCCCAGCAATGGTAAAGTTGTTGTTCTCGGGTTGGTTCGTTGGGAGTTCGGCAATGGTCGGGAGTTTCGACGTCTCGCGCTTTGATTGACTTGGAGAGTTCACTGTCCTAGTCATATCGGACATGTCTGGTATGGACGGCCTGAGGCCAACGGCTAGTTTTCAAATGCCTTGAGGCTCAGGAGTTCTGACGTGAGTCGGGAGTTCCGACGGTCGGGAGTTCTGACACCTCACTCACTTAAACTCAGTTACTGTAGTTTTCAAATGTGCCGAGGGTCAAGAGTTCGACGTGAGTCGGGAGTTCCGATGGTCGAAAGTTCCGGCATTCATCAGGAGTTCTGTCGCCTCATAACATTACTGTAACTCAGTTACCGTTGGCGCAGTGTAAGTCATACCGCATACCGGTCCGGTATGGCAACGGCTATAAAACGGCTAGTTTTTCTAAGGGGGCTATAAATACCCCCAAGAATCCACCTTTGGAGGCTGCTGATTATGCTGATCCTCTAACACGTTTTTGAGGTTTGCCAACTCTCCCAAACCCTCTCTTAGTGAGTGATTCATCCAATTGCCAAATCCATTTGTGGGTTAAGAGAAAATTTGAAAAAGAGAGCAAGCCACCACTTGAGCACTTGTGCATATTGTCTATTTCATGATTTGCATTTGTTACTCTTGGACTCTTTGGTCCAAGACGGCTAGGCGTCGCCAAAGAGCACCCGAGAGATTGTGGTGTGCCTCGGAAAGTTTATAATGGTCGATTCCACCGCCTCAAAATCAACTAGTGGAAGAAGGAAAAGGAGTTGGAAAAGACTCTGACTAGAGTGACCTTCGTGGTACCCTCTAGGGCTGACCTTTGCTGGGTCGCCCGCAGCCCCCTCAACGGAGATTAGGACTCGAACGAGTCCGAACTTCGGTAAAACAAATATCGTGTCTTAATTCACATTTCATTCTATATTTGTGTTGCTCTAGCTCTTGTGCAGGTTCTCTATGTATATTGTCATCTCCAGTAGATACCTGCAGTTTGGTTTGAAGATAGAAATCGAAAGGAGCAAGTTTGGGGCTGCTCTGCAGAAACCGTGCATACCAGACACGTCCGGTATACATACCGGACACGTCCGGTATTTCCTGCCTGTGCTGAATATATTCATTCTCTATTCTAACTTTGTGTTGTAGGGTTGTAGCTTCTAGATATATTCTTTATACCTTGTATACTCTGTGGCTAACTTGTGAGGGATGGTATTACTCTTATTTGGAGTTTTCATTTTGGAAACTCCCTTTACTAATCGTTTTCCGCAATTGAAGGTATTAATTTTTAGAAACGACTATTCATCCCCCCCTCTAGGCGGCATCCTAGGTCCTTTCACATTGCCGCCGCCAAGATTGGGTTAGGGTTCGGGGAGAGAGAAGAAACAGAAAGGAAGTGAGCTGCACATTGGGTCTAGGCATTCAGCTCGTATAGTTGGATGAGACAGGGGCAACACGGTCCATACAAAACATGTCACCATATACGTACATTTGTAGGTGGGCCACAGGTCGTAGCAAGCGTACATAATGGCATCAATCACATTCCACTGAAATTATAATGGCAAGTTTACAATATCGTGAATTGTAATAGTATATTTCGAAAGTCGTAGAATTGTAATGGCAACATTCAAATTAACCCAAGACATAAATACGATGACAACAATCTCACCTGTTTGGGGCAAAGTATTGTTTAAAAAAAGAGATAACAACGAGATAGGTGTAGCTTGGAACACAGTATAAAAATGAATTGCATTATTGGTATTTCTGAGGGAACCTTGAACCTACACCATGAATTAAGTTGTGTTACTACAATGTATTCGTTAAAAGAGAATAATCAATTAGATTACTTGAAGACATTAGTAATGGAACAATGACCTACTCATTGAAAATCTTTCAACGATGACCTACAAATACAAGCTAATAATTTAGGAGTGCTCATCAACCAGGAGATGTAAAACATATATTAAGGAAAAAATCAAGAATGCAGAATAGGTGATGATTCAGATTCATATATCATCAGTTTCACTAGAGTAGTTCAAAGTACGTAGACATTTTATCACTAATTGAGGCTAGAATTTGCATGTCACCTAGGTCAATTTTGGTAGATGTTCAACCTATGCAAAAATTTTATCACTGATTGATGGTAGAACTTGTAAATTTCAATATAACTAATGCATGAATGTAAGTACAACACATGAGCATCAACAATTTTATTTGCAGAAGCATGGTGGACATAACTGAAGCAAAGGAGCTGATCAATCCTAAACATATACATATATGAATAACTATGTTATGAAGTGGATGTGATATATTGTACCAAAAGGAACACATGGATCAGATCTCATCAGTTTGCTTAAGCTCACCATGATGCATGCAAATCGATGAAAGCGAAGGCCTGACAAGATTGATGGAGGACGAAGCCGTCTTCGGGCGGTAGTCGTCGAACGTGAGACTAAGAGCCGCCGCCTCCGAGCGCCGGATGACACGACATGCTGCCGAGGTCCAGCACCTCCGAGTGTTGTTGACGCGACAAATGGCCGAGATCTGCCGCCTCCGAGCGACGGTGACACGGACGGAGGTCGAGATCTGCCACCTCCGGGCGTCGATGGCCGGGCGGGCCACCGGGATTCACCGGATCGGCGCCTCTGAGCGTTGGCGGCGTGATGGCGGCCAAGATCCACCATCGCTGGGCGTCAATGGCCGGAAGGGCGGCCAAGTTCCACTGCCTCCGAGCACTAGTAGGTGGCGCGAAGAGATCTGATGCCCTGGGCATCGATGGCCGGACGAGGCGCTGAGATGCGTAGCCATCAAGCGCCGGTGGACAGACACGAACCTGAGACTCCACGTCGGGAGAGAGAAAAGGAAAAGCACGAACAAAATAAAGGAGAAAGGGAACTAACGGAACGCGAGACAATGGAAAAAGAGATTGGGTGGACTCAGACATAAGCTGGACCCCGCCACGTGATAAAGGCTACGGTCGGATCGTTCACTATATTGAAAACGAGCGAACGCTCGTCCAAGTGGAATTGGATTCTCTAACGTATTTATTGATCATGCACTGTTCACATAAGCTCTTTTTCTCTCTCCTCTATCTTTGGCTTCAACTGCTTCCGCTGGCTCTATGAAATGAGAAGAGAGTAGAGAGAAAAAACTCTTGTGAACACTACATAAACAGTAAATGAGTCAGAGAAGCTGAAGGCAGAGTACCAAACAGGGCCTACGTATGTACCATTATTCCCGTTCTCTCTCTCTGCGATTGTCGTGTCAGATTTTCTGTCTCTTCTTCCAAATTCCTCTTCGTATGAACACCTAACACAAAACACTAAAAAATCTGGAAAAACGAATTGGGGGCACGGGCCACTTTTTGGCCTGTCCATGGTCTACCTCGGGCCGTCAAGGCCCACTAAACTGGACTGGACCGACCCACGCAGGCCTTGCTACGTAGAGAAGACTCGGAGACGCGCGCGGCGCTCCCGCCCATCCACCACACCACTCGAGGGCGCGCGCGGCCCACTGCTCCGCCGCCGCCCGCTCGCCGCCATGCGAGGGCTCCTCTCCTCTTCCTCCTCTCTCCTCCAACGAGCCGCCGGCGCCGCCGCCCAGCTCTCGCGCAGGGAGTGCGGTAGCGCCTCAGCATCCGCACCCTCTCCTCTCCCCCGCTCCCCCCTCCAGGTATGACCCCGCATCTATCCGCCGCTCCCTCGATTGCGGCCTCGTGGCTTGTCGCCATGTGCTAGGGATATGTGACTTATTTTTGCAATAGAGGATTCTCAATTGGACTGATAAGACCTCTTTGCTAGTTGCTGTTGTCAAACTGCCCGTGTTGGGTTAGATTCATAGATTGGATGAAACGTTTAACATTTGCAACGGTTTGAACATTAGCGTACAAGCAGCTAACCGTAAGTTATGCTTTGCTGGCTCCTGCTCATGTAGTCATGTGCACAAGCTACTAGCTTAGAAGAGTGAGATTCGGAGAAATAAGCACTATGTGCTGTACCACAGCGCTATTCCGATGCCAGCTTTTTTCCCACTAGTGGAGAATTGTGGCTTTTGGTTACAATTGATTTATGTGCTGCTTTGCTGTTTCGTACTCACTGGCTTCATAGCTATAAGTGGTGCGTGGAGTTCAGAATGCTTGCTTGCTCATATTTCAAGATATCTGCACAAATTGCTGATCATCTTTCTTCCCTGTGATGTCATTTGCTAGAATGGGAAAAGAGAGACATTTTGTTCGTTTTGGTCCAAAGGTCGTTCGATGTCAACCACAGGTATATCCATTTACCCGATAGTTGCTCAATTTTTTGCTACTGTTAGCGTTTCTATACAATAGAAAATGCCCACTTTAATGTCCCTGCACGAAGTAACTTGTTGAAGCAGTTTCCAAAGCTGTACAGTTATTCTCTGGCATTCTGTATTCACGCTACCTTATGAGTTGCTATGTTACTCAGGAATCTGTACAAATTTCCAGTTGATATGCAGTTAGACTACGAGAGTGATCCCCCGCTTGACGATACAAAAGCTCTTGAGAAGGAGTCATCACTTAATGTTGCTGTCTCCCAACTTGCAAGTGACTTTGATAGAGATTCCAATTTATGTTTGGAGCGATTTTCCCGTACAAGGAAAGCATCTGTGATCTCTACTGGTTCTCTTAAGCTTGATCTTGCTCTCGGCGTTGGAGGATTACCAAAGGTCATAATGTGTTCATACCATTTCTATTTGTTCACATAATATACTTTATTATTATTTTTTATACATGGAATGCTCACTTGATTTTATATCTCCTGTTGATAGACATAAGAAATAAAAGTTCATACTTTTACAAGTACCTCACTGTTCCTGTCAACACTAGCAAGTCCAAACTTAGCTAAGCCATGTGTTTTTTTAAGAAAAATCATCTTTTGATGCCTATCTACTCGATGTGTCAATCTAATCTCCATCAAGATCTGAACTATTTTATTGAGTGGCAAATGTCCTTGTTTTGTGATTGGTAAGCATTCAGTTTAGTTATAGTTACCCTCAATAGAAGTGCATTTCACCTTCACCATCTCTGCTTACCAAAATACACATAACAACACATTTGCTGATCTCTTGCCTAAAAAAATCCATTTTGAGAGAATGTCTTGCCTAGAAATGCTGCCATCATAGGTGTCCATGTCTTCCAAGCTGTACTTCTCTGGACACTGGTCACTGTATATGTTGAATAGCAACATTTCCTTGAGAAATTTGATCCATGGCAATAGATTGGGCTTGATGTTTTATTACTGTGCTTTGGCCATGTTTGGCAGATTACTGATTAGAGTATCTCAAACAGGGTAGAATGGTGGAGATATATGGGAAAGAAGCATCTGGGAAGACAACACTCGCGCTGCATGTTGTTAAGGAAGCTCAAAAGAATGGAGGTCTGCATTTCGTTTATGAAGGCCTTTTTTTTTCCTCCATCCCTCTTTTATCCTTGGATATATTTCTGTTGACCACCAAAAAGAAAATCCTTTTTTTGTGGTTTGTTGCACCCCTGAAGTATTTCATTTCCATTTTGCCATTTTTTGGTATACTTGATTGTAATATCTAGTATCTTTGGTGATCTTTCATCATTACCATTAGTCCATTATATCCAATTGCCAGATTTTATGATACTCCTTTACAAGCATTAGTAAATATTGCTAGTGAGCATACCTCTGTTGTTACTACTTAGAATCTTAGATTGATGAATATATTGATTTTTTTTATAATCTCTGTTTGTGCATAGATTTGGTATTCTATCTTTGTCCTATGATGTTACTAAATCCAGCATGAAATATGTCTTGATAGTGCATTTATTTGGTTAGGTGTCAATATATTTTTCTATTAATGTGATCAGATTTAGAGAAGTTTGACTTAGGACAAAACTACTTAAACATCATACATTTTGGAATGGAGGAGGTATGTCACTTTATTTTTATTACTGAATGGAATCATACCTGATTGGCATTTTTACTGGCATATCTGCAGGTTACTGTGCTTATATTGATGCAGAAAATGCCTTTAACCCTTCATTTGCTGAAGCTATTGGTGTAGACAGTGAAAGGCTTTTGATAGCCCAACCTGATTCTGCTGAAAATTCTTTAAGCATTGTAAACACTCTTGTTGGTGGTTCTGTTGCTGTTGTTGTTGTGGATAGTGTATGTTACTTCCCCATATCATTTTCAGTATATATCTCTCTGTTGTCTAAAGTTCTTGCTTTATTGCTTATTCTAAGGAGTTCTGATGCATTTAGCTCTGTCTGGGCATACATGTTCTGTCATTTTTAAGACAGTCCTATTTTTGAGATATCTGCTGCTTTATTAGTTCTTGCCACTTCACCAGCTTCTTTATCTGTGTGTACTTAGACCGTGCTACATTTGTTTACCTTGCTTTTATTGTACTTGTGACAGGTGGCAGCACTTATTCCCAAATGTGAAATTGAAGGTGAAATATACACAAATTCTGAAGACATCCAATCCCGTTTGATGACTCGGGCCCTTAGAAAAATTCAGTACACTTTATGTCGATCTGAAACACTTATTATTTTTGTGAATCAGGTATGCCATTATTTGTCATCATGATAGCCTATGTAGGATTTTTTTTCAATTCCTTGAAACCTCTGTTCTCTGATCTCACTTCCTGCTCCTGCCAAAGTTTCAGTTTTTGTCGACGAAGAATGTAACCTATCTTTAGCTACCTCTTGTTACAAAAAAAAAAAAATCCCCATCTTCACTAGTCTCATGCCCATAAATAAATGTTATATGTTATCCTATGATTTGGGAACCTGAACTTTGGATGCTATGCTATATATGCACCACTGTCAAATGTACAATGGAAATAGACTAGAACAAACTGAAAAAACACTGGAGTTATGGCAGCATGTCTCCATATCAGATTGAATTCCTTCTACCAAATGCTAATGCCAATTTATACCATCAAATATACCTGGTTCAGAAATCCAAAATTACTTATGATTCTCATAACACTGAGCTACAGTATTCCTACCTTCAGCTCTATTGGTTGCTTTATTTGTAGGTTAGAAGAAAGAGGACATCAAATGATTTTTCTGGGATCTACAAGGAGGTGCCTTGTGGTGGTAATGCATTAGGATTCTATGCTGCAGTCAGAATGAGGACTTCAAGAAGGGAACTGCGCTATAGTGAAGACAAGGTATGACGCCCAGCTCCTCATGACAACATGTCAAACATACGCTGAAAATAGTGTACCCTGCTTACGCAGGCTACTGGAATAGGTATATCAGTGCAGATCATCAAGAACAAATTGGCTCCAGTGAGCCTGAAAGAAGCCGGCATCGACATCAGATTCGGGAAGGGGATCTGCCATGAATCAGAGATCCTCGAGATGGCTTCTTCCGTCGGAGTAATCCTGAAAGATGGGTGTGGGTATTGGATCAACAATGAGTTCCTGGCGGGCAAGGTGGAAGCTGAGAAGTTCCTACATGAGAACGCTGCAGTGGCAGATGAGATCTGCAATACCGTGAGAAATGAGTTCCTGCAAAGGTAACATACGAAGGCCACTGGAAGTTGGCTCCGACTCGGTTGACTAGGTACAGTTATCGTATGACATCTCACAAGAAAATTGGGGCACACTGCACCTCCAAGCAATCATTTTTTTAAAGTAGCTGCCGGTTTATGGATACCCTTACACTATGAAGGAAGTGAAGTTAAGTGATGGCGACCAATTAGAGAGGCTAATGCATTGTTAGTCGGTCTGTCTTGATCCCTTCATGAATCATGAGGCGTTGAGATGGAAATGTTGTACTATCATGTATTCATAGAAGATTTCTATAGGGTATTGCTGTGCCTGTTGTGTAACTTTGACTTGGCAACAGTTAATTGAGTTTACGATGGCCATTCCCTCCAAATGGTCAGGTTCTCTGTTGCTAGTTAAATACTTAAATGTGAACCAATTTGTCCCGAGTTTGATCATGTCGCCAGGAATTCAGGGCTGAGTTCCTGTTGTTACACGGCTTGAGAGCCTGGAATTCCAAACTCTGCGTGGATACGTGTTTTGTCCAGAAGTAGTGAACTGACGTGCAAGACTCGCCGCATGCATCGAACTGTCAAATGCGTGCCACCTGCGACGAAGTCTTACTCCTTCCTGGTCGGCATTGGAAAATTTGTGCAGTGTTGCAGAGGTCTTCGAAGTCTGCGCCTTCTCTCGCGCGTCCCTGTCCGCTCTCGCCGAGGTTGCAAGACCTGCACACTGATGGCTGCTTCGGTGGCCACGGCTGCACCAACAGTATGCTCCAAGCATACGCAACTACGCAAGACGGCGAGATTTTCTTCCATCAGCTGACCTTGTCCCGGTCTTGCGGCTAATTCTACAGTACGTAGTTTCCAAGCTCCATCAGACAGTCAGAGTCGGGCATGGACATCGGACGGCTATAAATCTCTGCAGGATCACGTCGTGATGAGCATTGCAGACGCCGGCGCTGAAGAAGATGGCTGCTCGAGGCGTCGCTCCAGTGCTTACGGCAGCAATAATGGTAGTTGCCGCATTCGCCGCCGCCGCTACAAGTATATCCATCTTCATGAGCTCCGATGATCGAAGAACCATGCATGCATGCATCTAGCGTAGAAGAAGCCGATTCACTGAAACTATATGTGCGCGTGCAGGTGTGCGAGCCATCGGCGTGTGCTACGGCGTGATCGGCAGCGGGCCTCCCTTCCAAGAGTGACGTGGTGCAGCTCTACAGTCCAACGGCATCTCCAGCATGCGCTTCTACTTCGCCGACCAGGACCTCCTCACCGCGCTGCGCGGCTCGGGCATCGCCCTGGCCCTCGACGTCGGCAACGATACCTCGCCTCCGACCCCGCCGCCGCCGCGTCCTGGGTCCGGGACAACGTGCAGGCCTACTACCCGGACGTGGACATCCGGTGCAGGCAGGAGAGTGGACTGAGCTTGCGATCAGACGGAGGATGGTGGAGGAAGTGGCAGTGGGATGGAGGAGATGGGGATCTCCATCGCTCCTCACAAAGACACCTGGGGACAGTACTGCTGAAAGAAGATTAGGAACGAACTGTGTCTGTGTGGCAGGCTGGGAGCTGGATTGTAACGAGAGAACAATGGAGCAAATGAATTATGTGTGGCTGCATTGCAGGAGCAAGCATGGGGAACTTATATACACACACAAACAGAGGTGTGATCGACAAGGCTGCACTGGCATGTTGTTAGAAGATGATTGAATAGGCATTAGGGCCTATTTGATACAATGGCTAATTGCTAGCTAACTAAAAATTAGTTCTAGTGCATTCAAACAGAGGCTGAATGGCTCAAAGGTGGACTTTTTTTTTTTTGCCAAGTCTTCAACTAATTAGCCAATCATAGCTAATTTAGACTAATTTTTAGCCCAAACTAATAACTTGTCAAACAGAGCCTTAGGCCAGGCACACGTGGATGGGCCCCACTTTTTTTTTTTTTTCTGGAAACTTCAGGACGGGGCAAGCGATCAAGTACATGATATCAGCATATTGCCTTTCACTTTGTTCTGTGCAAAAGCAGCAGGGTATAGCGGGAGTTTTGTTTCTCCGACACGGCAACCACAACAAGCTAAGAATCTATTTCAGTTCCCGCCAGATTAAAGGAGTTTTTTTTTGGAGACCTTGCCCCAGTCCAGAAGCCAAGCATCCGAACAGACGTTGCAGCAGTTCAAAGCATTACATGCTGTCTGCAGAGCTCTGCCTGTGAGAAAGGTAATATTGTTTGCAGTGCCACAGGTGAAGACTGAGAGGCAGACGACAGCTGAGAAAACACTGATAATGCATTAGATGATTAGATACAGACTGGTACTCGGTCATGTTGTTCTGCTGTTGCATTAGTTGATGTTGAGGGGCTTGCAGACACTGTCATTGCTGCTGCAGTGACTGATTCTCGCTGTTGTTGCAAGGATTGCAGCTGGGGCTTCTGGTCATTGAACGACTGGCTGCGTTGGATCTGCTGTGTGCCTGTGTCAGGAACTCAGACTGGCCCTGTGCTTAGATTGTGCTCTCAGAGATGTTTTGAAGGTACGGCTGCTGCTGAAATTAAGGATGCACTTGCTGCAAAATCTTACTTGGAAGAAGTGGCGCCGCTGCTGGAACTGCAGTATTGTGGGTGAAACTCTCGTTGGCCCTTCTCATGGCTTTGTTGCTATCAATCGAGCGGACGACCTTGGCTGGCAGCCATATCTCAACACCTTATCAACATTTCCCACTTCCATTGACGGTGGTGAGGGCTTCATCATGATCCATGGTGAAACAGGGTCAGATAAATCAGAACTGCAGATGGCATTCTGTTGGTCGAGTTGTGAGGAGCACCACCACATCTAACAGTGTGTCAAGCCCGTCGTCGGTGAGCACCTGTGGTCAAACGACCGAATGCAGCTGCAGCATGGTCAGCACTGAATCGCTGAATGCAGAAAACCATGACCGATGTCCTTGGAACATAAGGCGTACTGGTCGCGACAAAACGTCGAACACTTAGTGTGCGTTGTCCAGATGTGGTCGGTGGTCGCAGTTGGGCTGGCGGGAGCGACCTTCTGGTGCAGCGTAGAGGTCGAGGAAGCCATGGACGACGCCAAGGAGGACGTCGCCGGCTTGCTGAAGCTCGCAGCAGCACCCCTGGTGACCTCACGCTTGCTTGCAATCCTTGGTGCCGATGGATGTGGGAATCGACGGAGAGGACGAAGACATCGGTAGTTCAGCGGGCCTGCGCCACCGATAGTTCTCCTCCAGCTTCGCTAGGATCTCAGCCAACATCTCGCCGTTGTCATGTTCACTCAGATTCCAGCGGAGTGGTGGTTGCTCCTGGCTCGCAACAGCTCTGAATACCAGATGTTACGAACGCAGATGCTGGTACAATACACCCGAATTGATACACAGAGAAGTAAACTGGTTTGCTAGAATGTACTAGAAGGTTCTAGATATATCATATATGGATGAGACGACGAAGGGGAATAGGAAATCTAGGCGTACTAGGTCGGAGCGCCGCGCCCGAGAGCTCGCCGGTTGGCAGGCACCATGCCAGAGCTAGCCAGTCGGTGGATCCGCCACGCATTCACGGCTTACTCAGCTGGGCCTGTCGACTTGGATTCTTTGGCTCCTGCAGTCCTGCATCCTCCAGGCTCCAGGTAGGCCGTCACACACTCGGGGGCTGGCCTTGCTTGTCCATGGACGCATAGTTGGCCAAACAGGCCGCCCGGCACGGGACTGGCACGGGCATGCCATGGTATGTCAGCCGTGCCGTGTCTCGTCTGATAGTGTCGTCATGCTGACTTGACGATCCAGGCACGGCACTATTGCGATTTAGGCATATCGTGTCGGGTCACTAGACATGGTAGCCCGCTGGCACTATAAGTGTCCGTGTCGGCACTGACACTATAAGTACATAACACCTCAAAATGATCATAATATTAAGGACAGTAACTTTATCATCTCAAACTTATACAATACAGACTCAAAGTTAAGTTCAGAAAACTTACCAAAGATTCAACCTTACAAGCTCACAAAAACTTAAGATAATAGGATGTTAAGATCATAGAAACTCACAAGATCACACAAACAAAGGAAGAGATAACAAAATAATAATTTATTAGGAGGTTTAGTGCAATAAGCTGTCTCATTAAAAATATGTCTAGGTAAAACTCACCTTTATGAGAAACCCTAAACAGAAAAAAAAGTACAACCCAGCTCCATAGAAATTCATTGTCCTTACATCAAAGTTCACAAGTCCAGAATATTACAGTCCCATTATATAAATGATCACTAAGACACTAATTAAGATAAAGTTCTTCAAATGCTTCTTCAAGTTCCTTGTCCTCCACCATGTGTTGCAGCCTTGCTTCAGTAGCTTCCCAATCTTTGATGCAGGTCCACATCTCCACCATCTCAGGCTTCAGCCTCCTCCGTCGCTCCTCGATGATCCTGCCAGTCATACTAAAAGTATATTCTGAAGATATGGTAGACACATGAACAGTTAAAATATCTTTAGTCATAATTAACAGCACTAGATATGTGAGTTTGTGCTGATGCCACCAGTTTAAGATGTTAAAATCATCATTTAACTAATTCACAGTGTCACAGTCCAAGTAAGAAATAAGTTCAGAAGCATTAGTAGCTGAAGAAGTTGCAGCCTGCAGCAGGGCAGTTGCAGAGGTATCTCTAGCCATGCTTAGAGTAGTAGCTAGAGGATGCATACCACCGACAGAACCACCACCACCATCATCATCATCATAAATTTTATCACAAGCAGACCTTTTTTACCAGATAGGTTAGGAGGGACATTCTTCCTCAACCTAACAGCTTCATATTTCTCCTCATACTTATTGTAAACATCAGTAAGTCGAGCTCTAATGCCAAGCTGGTAAGTAGTATAATCTGTACCAGTAAGGTTACCCAACCTTCTAAGCACTCTATTGAAACCTTTCATTTTAGCTCTAGGGTCCAGGATGAATGCAAAAGAATAAAGTAAGGGTATGTCCCTCCAGTATTTATTATATTTGTCTATCATAGATTGAACCACAGGTTTGATGTGACTGTTATTAGCATAATTCTTTAGGTGTATAGCAATCTTAACAAGATAATGAATTATAAGTGGAGATATAGGATAGTACACACCAGACAATGCAACTGTAGAATCATAAAACAATTCAAAAAATTTAAGCACTTTTTCTGCCATAGCCCAATGTTCATTAGTTAAAAGCAATGGACCACCTTCAATCCTAGGATAATGAGCATGCATGAAAGTAGTGAATGGGATCTTATGAGGATACAAATGTTTAAGCATCAGATATGTAGAATTCCACCTTACCTCCATGTCTAGCTGAAATTTTCTAGGCCTAACACCAGTGGCAATGCAGTAACTTTTATATGCAGCAATTCTCTGGTTAGATGAGTTTAAAAATAATATTGCAGTTCTAAATATTTCAATCAAAGGCTTAAGAGCCTCAAGGGCCTCCTTAACAATCAGATTGATAATATGACATGCACAATGCTGATGCAAGAACATTGAATTAACTGTAGTAAGGGATGATACATTGTCTGATTATGATTCAACAGGATCATCTACAACCTCAATACAAGATATTTAGATAGCATGGGTCTAAGTTTACGCATGGCAGAAACATTAGATGATGCATTGTCTAAAGTAACAACAAATACCTTTTCGGTCAAACCATAATCAGTAAGCACAGATACAACACGGTCAGTAATGTTTTGTCCATTGTGGGACACATCAATAAGCACAAGACCAAGCACCCTCTTCTCTAGTTGCCAATCATAATTTATGTAATGAGCAACAACACTAAGGTAGTCCTCTTTAGCATTACCAGACCAAATATCAGAGGTCAAACACACACAATTAACAGCAGAAGAACTAAGATTCTCAACAAGCTTAGCCTTGCGATCAGTGAAAAATTTAACTATGTCTCTAGTGGTGGTTTGTCTAGAGACAGGAACATATATTTATGATTATGAGCAGTTCTAATGTACTCTTCAAATGCATCAGTTTTACCCATACTGATAGGAACATCTAGCCTAGCAAGCAATCGAACAAGTTCAGTACGTGCAACCATAGGACAATACTCCCAATTATGCATACTACCATCAAGATTAAAAGAGATCTGAGACTGAGACATGCGATTTTTTTCACGCCTCCTGGGGCATTTATCCCTATGCCGGATAAGGTGACCCGTGGCACCACTAGAGAGAGCAGAATGTTGCTTAGAGCAATGGATGCACTTAGCGGCACTCCTGGCCTTCTTACCATTGACTTTTTTGAAGAGTTTCTTAAAATCCAGCCACACTACCGAGGTAGAGGGACGAGAGCGCTTGGCGCTATCCTTGTCCTCTTCACCTTCCTCGTCGTTTGCTGCCCTGCCTTCTTGACCATCGCCAACATCAATTGTAGCCTGAGCGCTTTGGCCAAACAGCTCCTCGGCGTCCTCGTGTAGGTCTTCCTTATCGTCATCTCCGGCTAACCCACACAACCGCCTCTCTTCGTTGGCGCCGACCTCAACCGTTTCATCGTCGGAGCCG